GCTCTTGTTTTTAGATTCATTTGAAGCTGATTGAATGACAAAGTAAGGAGGAGGAGAGAGTTGCAGTTTTATTTCAATATGCACTCATGAAATGGATCCATAGCGCTGTGCAAACGTCTCCAGTCACCTCTTATTTCTTTGCATTTGGATTCCACAGCGTGCAGGAGTTTGTTTTTCAAGTCCTCTCGAGAAACACTTGTTCAGACTTTCTGAAGCTCTTTCAAAGCTTTTTCTTTTTGTTGTGTGGATGCTTTTTCCCTCATTTTCAGTCCAGTCATCGTAGCATTTGCTGTTTTTCTTGGTCCACTTAACACTGACCTGTGAATCATTCGAGCATGCAGAAGACGCCCAACTCAAAGGATGAGCCCCTAACAGGAAAGCTAGCCAAGAACCAATTTAAGCACTTTGCACTTTCGGGCCTTGGGAGGAGAAATCCAGCAAAGACCCGACACAGGATGTGACGGAGAATAAAGGTCCAGTCATGCCAAATTCTGACTTTCAGGCTTGTTCATTTGTACAAACCTCTTGCTTCAGACCAGTTAGCAGACGCAGCTGTTTTAGAGAAACAAAAACAGAAAAGGAGAAGGAAGCATACGCAATGAAAGTACAGGGTAAGGATCCATGCTGGGTTTTTCTTAGATTCAGATTCACAGGGAAACTGCACATTACAGAAAAGACCAAGTCTAACAACTAAAGCAGGAGGTACTGTACCAACCGCTGACTGCTGCAGCTGCTAGACATGGGGCTTGGCATTTCTTGCAACTATTTCCTTTGCACCAGCGTCGCTGCGGACGACTGTCAGTGCACATCATGTGGAAGACTCTCCCTACTTTCCCACAGATGACACGGCTTGAAGCGTATTACAACCGAAATGTGCTGCACATCGTCTCACATTTGATCCACCGCCAGTCACAACCTGTCAAAGTTTATAAAAAAACTAAAAACACACAAAGTGCACTTACGCTGGATGGAAGGTCACAAGTGGCAGCGTGTAAATTCCTCCTGTTGGCCAAAAGAGTGAATTAAAGGCAGAAAACCCCCAAAAAACAGATGCTTTAAATCCTTCAGATGGGACTGTTCTGCAGGAACGTCGGACTCAAACTGAGCGCATACAGCCAAAACAGTTGCCGTCTCTCAACCCGCTTCCTCTTTCTTTTCTTTCCCCTTTTTTCTGTGTGTCATTCTGCTCAGCTGAGGAGAACCGCACTCTGAATGGCCCACACGTACAGTTTGACACATCACTGCAGCAGCGTGATAGCGCAGCAGTGTGGAAGCGTAACCAGAACGAGTGACCTGTTGGCAGTAAACCTTTGTTACTCACAAAAACAACGTCTCACTCCATCGAAGAGCAATAGTTTCGTCACCGACCATCAGCACACACATATACGCTGAGATGTAGTTTGACGTCTCTGGTGTGTTTTTCTGCTACTACATCTTCTCATTGTGCAGCTTTGTGCTTCCATGCAAAGCATTTACATAAAACAAGTTGGGGAGGAACTAGATGTGCTTATAGTGGTTTCCCTCAGTGCATAACGACGAACGCTGCACTGCTGCTCTTTTACTTTCAGATCTTTTTCTGAATCAAAACTAAGGCTTGTGCAAACCGGCCGTGCAGTCTTTGTGTTTTTCCCCTGAAACCCAACCTACATGCAGAGAATGGAAAGAAAAGTATTTGCAATGTGCAGCTTTAAGACGTCTCTGTGCTTCAGAAAAACACACAAACCTATTGTAGTTATTTTTTTCATTAAGCTTAAATTGGCCAGATGGGGGTGCATCAGTTACTCTTCTGCTTTGCAGTGCATGGCTTCACCACAACAGGTCTCAGGCTGAAAAACACGACGACGAGAGCTAATAGGTAAGACTTAGCTCCTCCTCAACCACCATCAAGATACCACTTTGCAGAGCTGTTTAGGTACATGACGATTTTTATCAGCTGCCAGCCACGGCTCTGCGTCTGAACTAGGATGCTGAAGTGTGAGAATGCTTCAGTAATGTTGAGTCCAAATGTACAACTTAAATGTTTTTCCATTTTTATTTACTCCTTTCATTCAATCGTTGCATCTACTTTCCATTTTCTGAGAAAAATACATTTAAAAAATGAGGGACAGTAGAGTGCTTCTCTCCTGACCTGACTGATGAAGATCTGATCCAGAAATTTACATTTGGATTTGTCCCTTTGGTGTCTCTCAGACCATTTCCCGTCTTTAAGAATGGCTTCCTGACAGCCACGCTAACACCGAGACCATTTCTGACGAGACTTCAGTGAGCAGTAGATGGGTCGACTGAAGGGTCAGATCCATCTCTCAGGTCCTGTGTCATCCTTGCAGGACTTCAAGGGCATGACCTTCAGACTATCATGGATGCTATCTGCTGTGCATTTGGTTTTTTAGGCTTGTCTTCCACTTGTCCTGTTTACTCATTTTTTTAAGAATATACTGCACATCACACCAAGATAAGCCAGGTTTCTTTGCAAATCGTCTTGTTGGGGTCATTTGAGGCATCAGTGTTTGAGAAAATGCACAATTTTCTTAACCTTTAATATGATACAAAAGCAGCCAAAGCAGTCTCTAGTAACCGTTCTGCACACCGCATTAAAAAAGTAGTAGTCAGCAGATTATGATCTGTATGCAACATTACTGGTAGTGATGGTCCAGTGGACCCTAAAAAACCCAGAGGGCCCAAATGAGCATCAGGTTGCCCTTTTCGCTCAGAGTAATTCAGCTGATGACCAACTTTCCATGAAAAGAAGCCGACGAGGATGCTGAGCTCTGCCCCCCCCTGGCCTCCAGGAGCGCCCACAAATGCATCCAACCAGCATCTTAAAAGATTTCTACAAATTTGAGCTCCAGGATCAGAAGCAGAAGAAATGTTAAAGCAACATGACAGCTGGGAGTGCTTTTTTGTAACAGGATGGTGAAAGGAGCCTCCTCAGAGAAAGGACTACAAATCTGTGGTGATGTCCTGCTAACCCAAAAACTCCATCAGCTCATTTTTACATGCTGCCACAGGACATCCACCTGGTGTCACCTGAGCCCGCACTGCCAGCTAGTCCATAAACTCATGTTTTATATTTATCAGATAACTTAAACTAAACAAGGAGGAAGTGCTGAAGACAAATCCAGACGAAAACAACCACAGGGCGACTATAGTCACACAGCTTCCTCCCATCATGTGAAAATACTACCAGTATCTCTGGATCTGGGAAACACAGAAGTCCCAGCCAGTACTCCCAGTGCTCCCAACACTTCAACCACATGGACAACACACCAAGATAACAAACGGTCCCGAAAGGAAAACACGATCAGCAGTTTTCCTGTGTGAAATAGTCGTAACTCAAACTGCGTGACTGGCAGGTTTGGAGCCAAACGTAGGGAAGCGCTCGGAAATACAGCTTCACTGCTGAAACAAGGTAACTGTTGGAACGCAAGTACGCCAAATATACCAGGAATACGAGGAACTTGGAACTTACTACAGGACACTAGGAAGACACAGCAGAGACGACAAGGGAACAGGTGAGGAACACAGCTGAGCAGAATCTAACTGAGGAGACAGAGGAAGTAAAACTGAACATGACATACATGGGACAAGGACCTAACAAAATAAAACAGGAAGTAGCTAACACAAGGGCCAGAACTTAGACAGGCTAACTTGACAGAACAAAAGGGAAAACGAGCGACTACAGAGACCGGCACAGAAACACACACGGGGACACAAAGATGGAGACTAGACTCATTTCCACAGGAGACAGAGGACACGGCACAGAGACAAAACTAGGACAGCCCGGACAAAAAAGGAAACTAACACAATCAACCATACAAGAAACCAAAAACTACATTTGTTTCTATTTCTTAAGAACCAACAGCCCAAAACATCTCACTCAAAAAACCAATTAGCTTAACCAATCAACTTGTTCATTTGCATAACAAAGAAATGAGGTCCACATGTAAAGGTGAAGAAAAGCAAAACAAGAGCTAAACTAATGAATAATAGCATCAAGGCATTCAAACCAGTGACCAGAGCGCAGTGAAACCAAAGCAAATAAAAACCAAGTTGGAAACCTTCTCCATATAAGATGGTTTCCAACTTGGCTTTTATTTGCTTTGGTGATGTGCAGGATGTCACTTCCTGTAATAGATGACAGAAGCAAATCATTAGGACCTGAAAAGGAGGAAGCAAAAAGCAGACCCGACCACTGAAACCACAAAGCCTGGTGGCCGTCACTTATCTTTGGCACTCGATTCACTCGCATAAGTAGTTTTTAGAACAGGTGGCAACAAAGTAACAGTCGTGTTACTGCGTCAAGTGTAGCTGCTCAGACATCTGGATCCTTGGACACAAAATACACAAAGATTCATTAATGCAGCTCTACGTTTATTTATAAAGTCACTGGTGTCGTTTGTATTGTATTTGAAGTTCCTCTCACTCGTTACATTTAATGAATATCCTGATTTAATCAGTGACAAAACCAACAAAGAGGAGCGTCTGATGCTGTTGCGCTCCACAGGGTTTAATCATCACTCATCCCAACGGCAGATCCTTCTGTTCTAACCCTGTGCTGCTTTTTATATGGCAGTGACAAAGGAGTGCTCATGTGAGATGAGTTGGATGAAGGCATGGTGACATTATCCAACAAAACTTTATTCTGAGACCTTCGCAGTAATCAGTCAGACGCTCACGTCCCAGTTTAAAGCTCTTTCCCAGGCTGGGAGCTGAGACGAGAGTCTAGCTCTGGATCAGACCGAGTTACAGAATAATGAAAAACCATTGAGCTCTTTTACGGATTTGCTGCCTTGCCCAGCTTTAAATGTTGGAATTGAATCAACCTGCAGATAATGTTCATCATTTTAATGGAACAGAAAATATTTCCCCTGAAATGCATCAGCAGGGTTCAAGTGTTAACAGCAGGAAACAGGATGAATCCAAACCTCGATAACGTGACTGAAAACACAAAGTGTGCGATCAGTTTAACTCCCCAAGCTGACAAAGTGCACAAAGACGCATATTCTCCAATAATTTTATTCATAATTTTAATATAAACAGTTAATTGTTGAATAATTTACACACAGCAAGATTTTTATTTTCATATCATTGCAACACTTTCTGTACACGTCACTACTTGGCTCTCCTTTGAAAACATAGAAAAAATAAATTGTCAAGCGTTCATTTCGTCATGGCACATTTTTGATCCTGTACAATATGCATGTGTGTGTGTGTGTGTGAGACTGTGTAGTCGATATTTTGTGGTACATAAAGATAATGGCACATCTGGATCCAGTGTCAGGGATGAAGCGATCTCTTGCGGGTTTTGGGGCGAGGCGTCCTTTTTTTGTCGTTTTTGTGTTTTTGCACTGCACATACACACATATACACCTGCTGTATGCGTACACGCCGACATTTCAACATAACATATACACAACATATCCCAAAAAGAATACATCAGCATATTCATTGCCAATAAAATGACATTAACAAAGAGGTATCCTGCAAGACAACACAGAGCATTCTGGGGACCACCTATGTGCACGAGGAGAGAGGAAACGTGAAGTAACAGGAGGACGAAGAGAGCGCTCGTGAAGATCTCAACCGAGGACGACGACACACTCGGACCGAGCATCGCACACTGGTGTGTAAACTGGAGCAGACCACTGGACCGGCGGGTGACTCTCACAAGCTCGTCCTCATGTCTGTCACCTGACAAAGGGCTGCGACACACAGGACTGGAAGTCATTCATAGGAGAGGTTCAGCCTTTACGCTCGTATAAAGCTTGTTCATGTTATGGGGGAACACCAAGCTGTAGCACAGAGGCAGCTAGCTTAGCACAAAGTCCGACACTGGAGAACACGGCGAGTGTGGCTCTGAGCGAAGCTACCAAGCTCGTTTCCACCAATCGAAGACGAATAAAGCCCATCAGACAACATTTCAATTTACTTCTGCATAAGTCACATTTTTAGACTTATGCAGAAGTAAATTGAAAAACCTAAACTAACCTAAACTAAACTGTCGAGCTGAAATTCCGAGATACTCAATTTTTTTTGCTCCAGTGGCAGAAACAAGCTTCCATACAGGATAAAACACCTTAAAATCCTACAGTTCAATATTAGACACATTATAACTAATCTGTTTAGTCCACACGCGCACACGCGCACACGCACGCACACACACATGCACACGCACGCACAAACAAACCAGTAAATGTGAGAAACTGTTGTTGCTGGTCTTCTGTGGACTAAACCATCCAGGTGATGTGTTCATTGGTTAATCAGAGTCACGCTCGCTCTTTCTAATCTTTATGTTTAGAGAGGACCCGCTACGCTACAGTCGCTTTGAATGAGTCCTTTGTTTATCCAAATCTCAGGGTTGGTCCAACCAGTTACTTTATCCACTGCCTGAAACAACACTAGCCGCTCTCTATGACATCACAAAGAGCCAAGAGTAGAAAAAAGTCACAGGGATTGCATGCACACACACTGAAGTCATTTTTTGGGAAACTTTAGCTTAACTCACCCCGTAACAGCTCATATAAAAATAAGTGACTAATAGCTCCGCTTCACCTCTCCGTGAGGGAATTCACCAAAACATGCACGACTCCTGTGACAGCCTTCCAGCTCTGCAGCCGAGAGCCTGGCGGAGGACACGCCTCTCCAATAACACGTTTTCTCTTTAGCTTATTCAGGATTTTCTCGCTTGTGTTTTTTTGTTTTCTTCTTCAAAATAACGCACAGTGGTCTTTTCCAGTTTGTCCACACTCACAAAGAAACAACAACAACAAACAAGTTACTTGGAAACATTTTCACACTAAAACACCTGCGACAGGTGAAGCGTGTGTGACGTGAGAAAGGCTTTACGGGTGACAGGGTGGCATGCCGCCGGGGCCGGGTGGAGGCGGGGGCGGGCCGAAATCGCACGACCTCTCGGGCCAACATTCAGGACATGCATCGGACTAAGAGCGGGGTCGGCGTGCGGAACATTTCAGGCCGCGTACTCGTGAAGCTGTGAGACTGCAGCCGCGCAATAACAGACTTCTCTGTGTAGTGGGCTGCTTCATGAAAAAACAAAAAGAACCTTTTTAAATTTAGAAAAAGTTATATACACATTGATAACAATGTTAAATTCAAAATGTACAAGAGTAGTAAAAGTTTACAGTCAGAAAAGGTCGTCGTATTCGGCCTCCCTACTTTGGCTAGAAAAAAAATAGATATCAACATCTCTAAAACGTAATACTTTTCTCTTTAAAACAAAACAATAATACATACAATGCTTTGTTCTCACCCTGTGCTGCGTTACTAGCATGCTCTGTCCAACCAGAGTTCAGCAAAACAAAGCCAAACTTCCCTAAAAGTGAAGCGCTCTCGTTTTGTTTCCAGGGACGAGAAGATCTGCTGCTATTTACACGTAAGAGCTTATTATTGGGTTCATTCAAAACGAAAATGACAAACATACAAATCGTGCAGCAAACGAACGCACTTTTCAATGTTTGTGCGCTCACTTGTTTGCGTGACTTTGGGCTGTCAAAAAAAAAAAAGCATCAAATTATCTGCTGGTACAGATGTTTCATCTTCATGCACAAAGCAAGCCAGAGCTTAGCAGAGCAGAGACACAAGTTCAGCTGTTATTTTCTCTCCGCGTGGAGGGAAGGTTAAAAAGAAAAACAATGATTTCCTAAAACAACAAAAAAAGCAGAATCGTTTCGCCAAGAACAAAATTTATGTGATTTTCATTTCGTGTTCGGAGGCGGGAAAATCCTCTTTTGTGATTGGTGGACTGTCAGGGGCAGTTCTGCTCAGGAGGGGGTCAGACGGAGCTTTAGGCACTGTGGGTTGGCGCAGGAGCGGGGAAGCCGTTTGTCCTTGCAGCCCTGACGCGCAACGCTCCCATCCGACCACTAGAGGGCAGGCCACACCAGATCACGTGTGAGTGGAGCGGTCCTGACTGATTTCACAGGCTGGGAAAAACTGATTTATGAGAAGAGTGTTTAGGTTTTTGTCGCCTTTTTGCAAGGATGCTGAGAACTTGCGCTTCAGTCAGAGCAGATGAAAGGTAGGTAGGTAGCTCTTCCTCCTCCTCCTCTTTACTCTCCAACCGTAAGCATCGGGCCGCCTCCCTGAGACGAAAAAGTTACAATCGAGATTTCAGTTAATAGTTGTTATGGCACACAGGATGGTCCGAGTCCCTTTCAGAGGCGGAGGAGGGGGTGGGGGTTAAAGTCCTCCTGTAAGCAGCCCGGGCGTCTGCGTCCTGCCACGACAGACCCAATCCACGGCATTGACAGGAAATACAGGTCATCACTCGACATTCACAGTAGAAAAAGCAAAAGCATACGCACAGAATGAAATCAGAACAGAGAAACAAAAGTACAACAGGAGGAGACTCGAGATGTGAACACAGCGACTGTTTCGACCGCACGGAGACAGTTCGACGCGCCGAAGAAGATAAAGCAGCGTGAGGTCCACGGCTGAGCTCGGTCAGCCTTGGCTGCGTGAAGGCAATCACAGATATGAACAGAGTCACGATATTATTGGTTTTTCTTGTCAGTGTCACGTTCTCTGATATCAGAGCCGCTTTGCGCACAGCCCAGAGGCCCGGTGAGCGCGGAGAAGGGGACCAGTAAAGCTACGGTGCTGCTTCCAGTGACCGTGGGAAGCTTTGTGTGAAGAAATGTTCATGAAACGTGCAGAGGAGAGGGGCGATGAGTGCTCTTAAAAACGCGACGCGCGGGCTTGAACATAAGATGTGAGAGTCTATAAGAGCACGCCACGGACGCAAGACGGCAACCTGGGAACCCATCCATGACTCAGGCTCCGCAGACCGATTCCTCCGTGTGCACTGAGGTAGACTCCGGCCAAACACACAGACGACAATCATCACTAACTAATTAACTAACGAGCACTCCTGCCGCTCACCACCGCCGACTCCATCTCTACAGCTGACCAGCCTGCAGCACTTACTCCACCCTCAGCGGCTCTAAACATGCTGACGGTGTTCTTGTTCACAGGATGATGATCATAAGAAAATGTTCAGAGCTGCAGATGTGCAGGAACACGCGACTTGCAGGAACACGCGACGTGCCGACTCTGAGCGGCTTTTGGCTGTGCGATCGGATCGTGATGCAGTTGGAATATTTCACGACGCACACGCAGCTGATGTTAGTCTGCTTTTATCTTTCCAAACAAACTACCACCGGCCCGCGGCTTTCACTCCTCAGTATGATGAACTAAAAACAACTCCATCATTTCCGGCCCCCTTTTAGTGGCCACGGCGCAGACTCGGGCCGATCCGCGCTCGGTGTGATCGACGGTGTCTGCAGCAGAAACACCGCCTCCAAAAAATATGAGAAAGCAGTGAGTCGTCTGTGTGTGTGTTGAACTACAGCCAATAGATTTAGCCTGGAAGAGGCTCAGGGTTTGAGAAGGCACTGGTAAATATCTGGAGGCAGCTTCCCGGCGGTCTCTGACTCGACTCTCTGGGTTCTTGGTGAGAGAGCAACGCTTCGGCTGTGAGTCTGTTCAGTTTGGCACCCGCACTGCTCTGTGTGTTCAGGGGGAGAAGAAGATCCGCTGACTATCGGCTGATGCCTGAGGACCACAGAAGAGCGGCCGCGGGCTGGCCCGCTGCGAAACACCGGTGACCTTTGGGCTCTGGATGAAGGCGGGTCAGTGAAAGGTCAGCCGTAAGGACACTTGACTTGTTTTGAACTCTGGATCAGTGGACAGGAATGTTTTTGAATCATCATCAGGAGCAATTTGACAAGTTTCTGCTTGTGTGAATGTTCAGAAAAATCTGTCTGCCACCGTATGTGTTGAAGTCATCTATTAAGGAGGAAAATCAAAAAGCGAACGTCTGTCCCTGTGTGATAGTGTGAGCTCTGCCAACAGGCAGGAAAGGCTCGAGGGAACGAGGAGCTCCAACTCAACTGGAATGTCAGACCTGAGTGAAACAGCTGCTGCACACAGTCTGCAGTGATAGCAGGGAGAATAATGGGACTAGCAACCAACTGGCAGCCCCCCCTCCCTGTGCTCTCTCAAAAATACAGGGAGACTGCCCCCCCCCTCCATCTGCAGGTGGAACTGTCCGTATGTCTCCTTCAGGCTTCGACCACAAAACCTGGAATTTTCCACCAGGCTAATCTTGAACATCAGCAGCAAACAGGACGCCTCAGGGAGACCAAGCACGGGTGGAGGGGCAACGCGTGACTCTGATAACCCCCTCCATCTAACGCAGAACGCCTCCCCCCCCACCCAACCGCTGCTGTCAGTTCATGCTCCGCCTTTACTCCGAGCAGCACCGCGCCGTCTAACCTCGCCAGCAGCTGACACAGACGGGCAAACCGGAGAAACCACAAAAATAAATAAAAAAATGAAAACCGCAGGAACAAACACGTGGGAGCCTCAACGCCACCGAAGACACGAGAGACGGCGCACCCGGGCACGCCGACCTACAAACGCCTCATAAAGCTTCTTTCTCTCTCTTTTTGGTTGTTTTGTTTTTAGTTTATTTTCAAAGCTGTAGTGAAGTCTTGAACTATTGTGCACTTTGAGAGGAAAGAAATGCAGTCAGCTTACAGCATTTCCAGGTTTCCCATCCAGACAAAGACTAAGAGGGAGGCGGGAGGCCTAAGACACGGAGAGCACTGCCGGTAGGTTGGAGCGATTTCTGGGGCGATAAAAATAAGGAAGTAAAAAATGTGAATAATAAACCCGACGAAACAAAGAACAAGCAAAGCTCCTGATGGAAAATATTACAAACTATTTACAATGCCATCTATTTTATATATATATAAAATATTGGTAGGGAAATACCAATATTCCATATATATGTGTATTATATATACTCATATAATTCTATACCCACTAAAATATATGAAAGCAGCAGTTATTGGTCAGTCTGAGGGACTCTTTTTGTCCAATTCTTAACTGTTTAAATATCCTTCAGCCTTGAGGACACAAAAAGAAACGTTTGAAGCAAATAAATTAAAAGTTGTCACCAAACACCCGACAAATCTGTCGTTTGGAATTCTGCAGAAGCAAAACAAACAAACAAACAACAAAAACATTCCTCTAGGAATAGATGTTTGTTCTACCATCAAGTCTTTGCAAGTCATCCCACTGATTAAGTCATTGTTCAAAAAGGACAAGTAGTGTAGACACTTTGTTTACAGGCCACGTACACAAAGGCCACTATCTGAGTAAAAAGAGGGAAACAAAATAAAAAAGCACAGAATCGTGGAAATGCGGATCGGTGGGAGAGGAGGAGGGGCGAGTCTCGAGGAGGTCGAGCACGAGCAGCCTTCTTGGTTGTCTAAGGTTTGTTGTGTTCACAGTTTTCTGTTTTTTCCCCGTTTCCATCACAAGGAGTCGTGGAAACGCGGCGTTAGTGACGAGCGATGGTTTTCTGGTCTGATGTCTTACACCACGTTTGCATCATCTTGCCTGTGTTCTGGAGCCACGGGGAAGAAAATAAAAAGTCCTGAGATTTGTGTCTCTTTTTTTGTTTTTTGAAGGGCTTCTCTGAAGAATAAGAAAATCACCATCATCGAAAATGATGAGAGGAACACGAAGGAGACAGAAAAATAGATCGGAAAGGGGAAAAGGGAAAGCTTCAAAGAGTTCTTTGAGGAAACGGGAAGTGTTAGGAAGGGCTGGATCTGGGCAATGATAAAATTCTTCCATTTTTCTTGCCACCGTTCATGTGTGTGTAGGGGACGTGCTCCTCATAGTTCCCCCTCAGGGCCACCGAGGGCCCGCTGTCCCTGGATAAGCTCTCCTCTCTCTGGGAGTAAGAAGAAGGGTCCAGGGGGATGCTTTCCATGTTGTCCAGGTCTAGGTCAAACTCCTCCGTCTCGGGGACTTTGTTTTCATCACTGTAGAAGAAGGAGACCTCCTGGAAAGACGGGTCCAGGTCGTCCCGCAGCATCTCGATGATCTCGAGGAACGTCGGACGCATCTTGGGATTGTACTGCCAGCACATCTGCATGAGGCTGTGCCTGGGAAGAGGGATGAAGAAAGGCCAATTTAGTCTTGTGTAACGTGGACGGCAGTTTTCCCAGCTCCGCATCTACTCACATCCTCTCAGGGCAGTTCTCCGGTCGATCCAGGAATCCTCCTTCCATGACGAACTTCAGCACCTGCTCGTTGGACAAACCCTGGTAAGGCTGCTCGGCCAGCGTGCTGATCTCCCACAGCACAACACCGAACGACCTGCAGATGTACAAACGCACAAACAAACGAGATCAGGCCGAATGACGTGCGGCTGTACGGTAGGCCACTGTGTGAGCTGTGACTCACCAGCAGTCAGAGTGGGCGGTGAAGACTCCGTCCTTCAGGGACTCGGGTGCCATCCACCGGACAGGAAGCAGGCCCTTCCCTCCTTTACGGTAGTAGTCCGTCTCATAGATGTCTCGTGTCATACCAAAGTCTGAGAGGAAGAGCGACGGAGACAAAGGTTAAGACAACACCTCCAACTACGCGGCGGTATCGACAACACCAAACACGTTCTGGTACCTCCGATCTTGACGGTGAAGTCCTCCGCCACCATGCAGTTCCTGGCTGCGAGGTCTCTGTGGACAAACTTTTTAGCGTTGAGGTAGGCCATGCCGTCGGCGATTTCTGCAGCCATCTGGAGCATGTCTTTCAGAGTCGGCGGTGGGGAACCAGACGGGTTGTTCTACAAACCACAAACAGGTTAGACCCACTCACAGCTTCCCGCAGGTAACGCTGTGCTGGACATCTGCTGAAATACTCGGGCGTAGTTTTCAGTCACGTGACCGACTCGCTACGCTGGCGAGCTAAATGTTACTGCACGACTACTTGGATCATCTACCCGTGGAGGGGAAATGAAGACAGCGATCCATATTCTGCCCCAATACCACAGCTACTGTCTGGCATTTTAGTTAAACTCAAAGATGTTCGTAGGATTGGTGGAGTGCAAAGGTGGGGTGGCTGGAGCTCAGGAGGTAGCCTAAACCATACCCATCCCTACTGCCAACTGGAAGGTTGGTGGCTCGATTCCCAGTCTGCATGCCCAATATCTCTGGGATACTCTCCGATCCATCGGCGTGTGAATGTTAGCTAGAACACACTTTAGCTTAGAAAAAAGATCCTGTATGAATGGGCGACTGAGGCATGTTGTATAAAAGAGTAGAAAAGCACTACATAAGAACCAGTCCGTGTACTGTTCAGGTTACTTGGAGCAGGAGCAGGTGAGTCTATCGTTTACTGATCACCATCTTCATTACTGAGCCTTAGCAGAGGAATCTTAGCTAAAATCATAACACGTGCAACTTCTTTTCACCTGAAATTTTATGAACAACCATTAGGCGAACCAAATGGCTGTAGGCTTTACTGCACGTCCCAAATCATCAACACTGCTGGTGCATGGGCCCATCGGTCTGAGTGACTCGCTATACACAGGTGGAAAAACCCAGAGTTTGTAGAGCCCTAGTTTGCTTAATTTTCAGCAAACAGGCTTCAGGGAGTGCATCCATATGTAAATAATACAGGTATTAAACCACATGAGTGATGTTTGGGGGCGGGGCTTACATACCAGAGTGTGTAAATAGGTGGGAGCACACTAATCAGGACTACATACCTCAGAGTCTGGCCTGAGACTCCGCAGGTAGCTTTTCAGGTCCCCGTGGGTCATCAGCTCCATCACTACCAGGGTGGGCTGACCTTTGGACACCACGCCAAGCAGACGCACCTGCAAACAATTCATCGTGTTAAAACGGCGCGCTCAACTCTAGCAGTAGACTTTGTAGCCAAAATTTCAATTTAATGACTAGAAATGATAAAGCTACACCTCAATCTGATTTTTACAGCTGACGTTTTAACCTTTGGCAGTTAAACTAGTGATCAGCCGGCTCTGTAGGTCCACAGTAACAGTTACAACATTTGTTTGTAGAGTCAAACTGTGCGTGAACACGGCAGCGCCGGCAAAACAAGACACGACTGTGAGTCAGACGTGTGCCGCCGCTTTCAGCGAGACGACGGGAAAGCTGTAATTTAGTGTAATTTACGAGCAACTGCTCCGGTGTCCTCTCAGCGTGCCGTGACGCTGTCTGAGGGTTTAACGGTTTAAAGAGTCATACCACGTGGTGACAGCTGAAAGCCTTCATGACGGAGGCTTCGTTGAGGAACTCGATCCTCTCTCGCAGGCTGGCCGATTCGTTGACCGTCTTGACGGCCACACGCGTCTCCGGATCGCCTTTGACGATGTCTTTGGCGACTCCTTCGTACACCATGCCGAAGGAGCCCTGACCGAGCTCTCTGAGCAGTGCGATCTTCTCCCGGGGCACCTCCCACTCATCAGGAACGTACACTACACAACACAGGTGCAAATGACCGTTTTGACAGAGCGAACTGAGGGAACAAATCATCGTATGACGGAAAAAACAACTATTTCATTCTTACTGTCACCAGCGCTGAAGTACTCGGGGTTTGGAGAGGTGATGAGATCTCCTAAGGGGCCTTCGGTTTGCCTGTAACACGACCACACAGAGTCACTAAGAGTCACTGGAGTTTATGGCTGTAATGGGCAGCCTGCTGGTTAAAGACTAACCTTTTTTTGAAGTACACAAACGCTCCACCTCCCGCGAGTAGCAGCAGGATGAAGCAGATGACGGGACCCATGACAATCCAAATCAAACCTTGATCAGCTGCAACAGATAACAGAGCGGTCACGAGACAGTAAATTTGGCACATCTTCCACTTTTCTGTTAAGTTCAGAAGTCCGACTCTTAGAGTCTTACGGTTGGGCATGAAGAAGTAAATCATCTCAGTAAAGGAGCCGTTTCCTGCCAGCGAGGTGGCGCGAACCCTCACGCTGTAGTTTCCAGGCTGAACAAGGGAAAGCTTGGTGCCACCGAGCTTCTGATAGGCCGGCCGTGACACACAGGTCGTGTGAACCTGGGCCCAAAAGGAAAAGAGAGAAAACCCATGTTATTCTAAAAGTTTGCTTAAATAAATAACGGAAGAGACTTTCAGGACAAACAGGTCCGGATATTTCCAGGTTACTTTTACACACATGTGGCACAGCAGGAAATACTACAGTTCAGATGTGTTTACATTACTTCAAATACTCAGGTGCCAGGGTAGAGCGTGCAGGACGCAGCACACGCATGATGCTCACTCGCTGCTCTATTCCCACCCAATCAAAAGTGACCAAAGTATTTTTGCTGAGCCAATTACTCTTAACCCCTGACTGGGTGGACAGCCCACACTCCACCCCGTCTTCTCATGCTGCTGTGAAGCGAACCTTCACCTCACAGAATGACCTGCTCGAGCTCGTGTCTCTTATTTTGAAGGGCCAACGCTTAAACGTTCTTGCTGCTGTTTGTTGGGCTCGTTGGTTTGCAGTATAAAGGGCCTCGAGGGGAGTGCTGCTGTGATTTGGTGCAAACCTGAATGTTGTGCTGAAGTGAGAAGAACAACCAGAGCTTTTTGTGCTCAGGGTCCGACCAAATCACTGCATACACTCACACGAAGGAGCGATTTTTTAAAGTGGATGCTGTTGAATTAAAATGTATCCAAAGAGCTGACATGTGCAAAAACACATAAGACTGTAATCTAAAAATTGGCCTGTAGCCCTTCGATAGAAGTGAAAAGCTGGGCTCGTTTGACTCTGTGTTAAGGACGCTTAAGGTTGGCTGATGCGCGACTGCACTGTCGCAGTTGAAGTCCGTTCCACTGAAAGCAGCAGGAAGTGATCGCTGCAGTGATAAATGCATCCAGCCTTCATAACTGTGTTGTAACATTCTCAGCGTTGTCATCGATGTGAGCCTCCAACGTGCCCCAAACATCATTTTAAATGAATCCACATCGGTCTGGGCCACGGGCGGTTTTTCAGCGCAGCGAGATGTCGCGTGAGACGAGTCCATCGCTGCCACTGCATACTAGTCTTCCATCCTGCCTCTGTCACTATGGTAACAGATCTGCTACTGGCTCCTGGGGTCAGGCGGTGCAGCAATGAATAGTAATGAGAGATGAATTCACACATTTAGAGCAAGTAAACAACAAGACTTGGACGCGCCGTCACAGACGAGACCTTATGCACGCAAACGTTCCCAGAATTTCATCCACAAACGAACGCGTCCGACAGCGTCGACACGCAGCACCAGGAGGCTGTAAACAAATATTTCCTTGTCCCCTTCTATAATGAACAGACACAAATTGGGGTGTTTACAGGAAGCCTTTCCTTCCCGGCCTGCCTCGCCTCCCTGGAGTGTACCCAGATCACTCCTTGTCTTCTCACCTGCGTCTACTTTTCCTTCTGTGCATGTCCTTCCAGCAGAGCGAATCGGGATCATTTCTGCTGGCTGTTTTCCCACATCACCTCTGTGCCCTTTGGTTTTGAAAAACAAAGGACCCCGAGTCCTCCCACTAACATTTTCCAGGCCCAGCGCTCTCTAAGGTTTGCCAGTGGTTCATACTGACCTCTGAGTCTCCGACCTTTTTGTAGAAGACCTCGTACAGGATGATGAGCCCATTAGGGTTGATGGGTGGATTCCACTTAATCAACACATAGGGAGGCTCGCCTTGCACAATCTCGTGGGTCACGGGCTCTGGGATGTCGTCTGCTTTCTCTGCAGGTGTCAGACAGAGAAAAGCACTTCACAGTGAGGCGCAGCCGATTTTATCTCCAGAATCTGATATTCGGTGCACCAGCAGCCTATTTGCACACGCGTGTGCCCGTTCTTACCCTCAGGCATAGTTCGGGCACTGATATAAGTAGCCATGCTGCAGCGTTTGGGATCTGTCGGATCGTTGCAGGCTATGATCTCTATCTTATAACTGGTAAAGTGTTGCAGGTTGGAGATGACCGTCGACTCCTTTGAGAACACCTTTTGTTCCACCTGAGCAGAAAGGAAAAGAGATTGAACTTCGACTGCAACTCGAAATAAAGTGAAGGGAAAAGATGTGGTAAACATAAAACGCTCGATACCTTGGATTCCTCTTGATCCTCGCCATCGGGGGCGATTGTGCCTGAATCCAACTGCAGATTGGGAACTGTAGTAAGGAAGAGAGGAGGCTGAGTGGCATTAGCAACTCCCACCGAGCGGCGCCGCCGGGATGGTCTGCAGAAGTAAAAGTTAGAATAGGATATGAGTGAGTGACAGAGCGCGGACCTGCAAAGTTGTCAAGTTTCATGTGCATCAAGTGTTTGCAGATGACAGATGGTGTTTTGTGGAAGCAAGCCAGACCTCTGCTCGCACTAACCTTTCCTGTGTGTCTAACTTCATGACATTTATGCACAAACACCATCCTAGGAGACATACTGACTCTCACCACTAGGTGGTGCCAGGCCATCCAGATGGATCTGAGTGCGAGCCACCATCCCAGCTAACAGGCCTTGAGCTCAAACCAAATCAAGACACAGATGTTTCACCTGATGTGCAATGAAAGGCAGATTTACTGCGTATGAACTGTTGAAGAGACGAACCCGAGTGCTGCATTTAGGACCGAGTGAAAGCAGAAAAAAACGGGAGCTCGTGTCCGTTTGCGTGACAAAATAAGAAAAGCGTGAGCCGCTTCTGGTGTCCTGCACTGTATGGAGCTGACCTTGGCCAGCTCAGAAGCAGGAGTTCAAAATGAGGCTGATGTGCGCACGGCTGTGTGTGTGCGTGTCTCCAAATGGCAGTCTGCATGACTGCGCTCCTGACCGGCATGAATGATAATGGGCACAGTGATCACCCCCCCAGGGAAGCAGAGGCAGAGACTGTGGGTGTTTGTGTGTCCGAGAACAAGGTAGGGGCACCAGGGCCCAGACACTGCACCTCCCGCTGCAAGCCCCCGACGGTGGGTGACCAGCACAAAAACAAGTGTCTATAAAAACCACACACAGTGGTGGAGGACACAGAATTGGCACAGAGACTCACACCAAGGCTGAGTGATCTGGTTTAACTCCGGTCACGAAGAGAAACAAACGAGACAAGAAGCTCCTTTTGGTGCTTCGCTCGGTGTGAAGCTGAACTCACACCAAAAGAATTTGTTACATTTCTGCAAAACTCGAGGGCATTAAGCGGCTCCAGGAACACGAATTAAACCTTTAATTTAGGTGCTGGGGTGCGTCTCTATTTAAGTTTTCATTTAGCATGTGGGTAAACGATGCAGCCAAGGCATCGTCGCATGTTCAGATGCTGGGAATGAACCTGCTCTCGTACCTGCTCTCAAAGACTTCGTTGTGCAGGTAGTTCTCGAAGGTCTTGCGGTACTCTATCTCCTCCTGCTCCTTCTTTAGCTGGCTGTCCGTCTTGGGGCAGGCGCAGCACCTGCCGCCCGAGGTGGGCTCATCTGTTTGGTTCCACTTGTGCTCATCCTCGCTGTCCAGGTGGGTCGGGATGCGAGACGGCACTTTCATTCCTGGACGGGAAAACACAGCAGTCAGGGAAAGCCCCTCAAATGACTGAAGAGGGCGAACCATTTAAACTGCAACCTTGTAAGCAGTAGTCGAATTTGTACAGGTCGCTGTCCTCCGCCTGCTTTCGACAGACCACCCGGTAGTGGGTGATGTTGCCATTGGGACTGGTGGGCGGTTTCCACTTCAGGATGATCTGAGAGGAGGAGTTGGAGGAGGAGATGGGGTCCAGAGGAACAGAGGGTTCTGACGGGGACAGAGAACAAAATGTAAGTGCATCAAAAGGACTTTAGCTCCATCAGACTAGAGTCTAGAGGCACCATTCCATCCTTCTTCTTTTTACCTTGTTTGGAAAATAAAATAGGTCCAACGATTTATTAAATATGCAAACATCCATGGAAACACCAAACATAACAGTTTGCACAATTCTAACGAGCTTAAAAGTCGATATTTGTTTAAACACGTTTATTCCTCAGCACAGTGCAGTCCACCCTCCACTGAGACCAGATGGATCAGCTGAAGGGACAGATGCATCTTCCTGCGTCGCAGCCTTCCCAGATTATTGTCCTGTTTCTTGACTTTTAGATGCTGCTCATGTGCTGTAAACAGTTTGTCTTCCTTCTCCTTTGTTCTTCTATTTTCCTCACTTTTTTAAAGGATAAGCTGCATGCCGTGAAGCTTTTGGCTAATAGCTCTTTTGGAATCAGTTTGAGGTTCACACAGATTATTTTCTGCCTGTCAGGCGGCTTATGTTTGGCTTTTTTTACAGATTCAACTAAAGAAATGTGTTTTTGCTGCAGGTAACAGAGTGTCTACAGGCACAACTGAAAAGCGGCTCTTTGCTAAGTCGTCTGGTTCATCCCTCAAGTTTGGTTCCTTTTATGTTCCAATGATTCCTGGTTCATGGTCAGTGTTAAGAGGTTTAAACAAATAAAAATGATCAGGGACAAACACTGCACAAACAAAAAGGAAAACTTTCAGAGAGCCTGCTCAAGAGCACTTTAAAAAGTTACAATAAAGTCGAGCAACTTGGAAACAAAATATAAAGAAATGAGTGCTGACAGTAGTATGAGGGCAACACCCCCCCTCATCAAGGAAGGTTCATCCAAACGTGAGCAAGGTCCCAAAGTTGTTTCAGTTTAAGCCCAAATGGCTTCTTAATACATCCCATCATATAAAACAATTAACAACAGTTGGAGTGTTTACAAAAAGCCCCCCAACAGAAGTCCAGAGTAGTTTTACACAATCACTTAGAAAACGTCAGATGTTCTACAGTCATTGAAGTATCCATCAAACACAAACGTCGGTGTTCATGGCGTTACTCACTGGAAGCATCCGTCTGAACGTAGATGATCTCGGTCTTGGCTCCGTGGACTTGGTGCTCATCAGACGCAGACAGCTGCGTTTTGACCATGATGGCGTACTGGGTCCAGGGCTTCAACGGTCGGATCAGGTACCCCGGGTCGTCTGCCTTCTTTCCCTCCGTGGAACGAGGCGGCGGATCGACATCGGCAATCACCCAGCTGTTAGAGCCGCAGGCGTCCTGTCCATCAAACTCGGTGACGTTCTTATACGGCCTGTTGCACATGGAACGAAAACGTCCCAACATTGTTAGGCATCCGTGTGTCAGACAGACTGAAGAGTAAAGTGTTGGCTTTTGTGTGTCCTCGTCTGTACACGAAGCAATGATTTACTTACGCCTCTTTGTAGAGAACCATGAATCCCAGCAGGTCCCTAAAGTCTGCTGGCCAGAATGGCTCCCACCTCAGTATAATCATATTCGACTTGGTCTTTATCAAAGTGAAGTTCAGCAGCTTCGTCTCACCTAAAGGACCAAACACAATAATCACGTTCACGTTAGTTTTTGGTCAGAGCAATCCCAAAAACAAGGCAGTCCCGTATTCTGGTGCTCTTACAGGAAGCTTGCTCCCCGTTGTTGCGTAAAGCGATGTCGTTCTTTTGGTTTCGATCCCGGGTTCCAGTCACCGTCTCCATCTTTCGGATTTCAGACATGCAAAGCTTAGAGTTGTAGTGGAAGAATGTGCGACCACGCAGGATGGTTAGGTTGTGCTTGGACCAATCCCAAAGCTCACGGAGGTTCTGGTTGTCCAGCGCATAGAAGGCATAGGCCCTGAAAGAGATCGGACATCAGAAAAATCAATCACTCACAGCGAGGAGACGAGAGGAGGGGGGAGGAGACAAGAGGAGAGGAGACGAGAAGAGAGGAGAGGAGACAAGAGGAGACGAGAGGAGAGGAGAGGAGACAAGAGGAGAGGAGACGAGAAGAGAGGAGAGGAGACAAGAGGAGACGAGAGGAGAGGAGAGGAGACGAGAAGAGAGGAGACGAGAAGAGACGAGACGAGAGGAGAGGAGAGGAGAGGAGACGAGAAGAGACGAGACGAGAGGAGAGGAGAGGAGACGAGAGGAGAGGGGAGGAGAGGAGAGGAGACGAGAGGAGAGGGGAGGAGAGGAGAGGAGACGAGAGGAGAGGGGAGGAGACAAGAGGAGAGGAGACGAGAAGAGAGGAGAGGAGACAAGAGGAGACGAGAGGAGAGGGAAGGAGACAAGAGGAGAGGAGACGAGAAGAGAGGAGAGGAGACAAGAGGAGACGAGAGGAGAGGAGAGGAGACAAGAGGAGAGGAGACGAGAAGAGAGGAGAGGAGACAAGAGGAGACGAGAGGAGAGGAGAGGAGACAAGAGGAGAGGAGACGAGAAGAGAGGAGAGGAGACAAGAGGAGACGAGAGGAGAGGAGAGGAGACGAGAAGAGAGGAGACGAGAAGAGACGAGACGAGAGGAGAGGAGAGGAGAGGAGAGGAGAGGAGAGGAGACGAGAGGAGAGGGGAGGAGAGGAGAGGAGACGGGAGGAGAGGAGAGGAGACGAGAGGAGAGGGGAGGAGACAAGAGGAGAGGAGACGAGAAGAGAGGAGAGGAGACAAGAGGAGACGAGAGGAGACGAGAGGAGAGGGGAGGAGACGAGAGGAGAGGAGACGAGAAGAGAGGAGAGGAGAGGAGAGGAGACGAGAAGAGAGGAGACGAGAAGAGAGGAGACAAGAGGAGAGGAGAGGAGAGGAGAGGGGAGGAGACAAGAGGAGAGGAGACGAGAAGAGAGGAGAGGAGACAAGAGGAGACGAGAGGAGACGAGAGGAGACGAGAGGAGAAGAGAGGAGACGAGAAGAGAAGAGACGAGAGGAGAGGACACAAGAGGAGAGGAGACAAGAGGAGAGGAGAGGAGACGAGAAGAGAGGAGAGGAGAAGAGAGGAGACGAGAGGAAATGAGAGGAGACAAGAGGAGAGGAGAGGAGACTTACTCTGCCTCGAGCTGCTCCCCCCTGATGACACGCAGTTTGCGGAGGAATGAGAGGGAGACCAGGGCGTAAGCTCTGCGGATGGTCAGGTAGCCTGTGATCTCTTCAATCTGACCCAAACTCGCCTCCAATTCGGCTGCTATGTTATCTATAAAGACGACAGTTCATCACATAAACAGCTACCAGCTGATGAGAGCAGACAGAGGTCAGGTACATACAGATAAAGGCTCAAAAAGTTTTAACAAAGGGGGGAAAGTCAAGAAACCCAAGTAATGGACAAGAAGGCGACACGGAGAGAGAAACAGGAAGTGGTACTCACTGCCTCCTCGAATCTTGATGATCATGTTGCCTTTAAGAATGGTGCACCCCCTCAAAGCCTGGGCCGACGTTACCGAGTCGATGGTCTTGTTTCCCACACACTCTTTAGGACACAAGCCCGCACACCGTGAGCAAGTCAGCCTACACAGAGAAACACACAACATCAAAATCCTAATGAACGAGCTTTGTGTGCGAGCCACGACTAGCTGAAGGTCAGGACTTCTGGAGACAACGTGGACGCTGCAGAGAAACGCCTTCGGTTAAAGCAAACAAAACTGTTTTCTGAGCGAAACACACAGAAAATGCCTCAAATGTTTCTGCGTGCAGTTATCAGAATTGGAATGAGGCAGGAATGCTCGGTGACATAGCGGAGCGCCGTGGGTCGGAGCCGGGGATGACATCGCAGTTTTAAACAACAAGGACGAATCTGTTCAGCGGAGTTTTTCTGAGGTCTATTCAGACTTTCTACATGGGCAGACATCCATCTGCTCTGTTATAGCTGCTGGTTCTTCTCCCTTTGTCCAAAGGAAATTAGAAAACAAACACGAGCCAACATTCAAGTGTCTAAAACTGCAGTTCCTCTCATGTCCACTTGAGGCTGGCTCCAAGAATGAGTCAATCCCCACAGACGTCCACGTTAAAGGCTAAAACGGAAATGTGGATTGATGACGAAATGGTTAAAATCTGTCAATATCAGTATTGACCTCCAACCGGTATATCGGTGTATTGGTGGGGCATACTTTATATAATCATATATATCTGTTTTATTGGTGGGGCATACTTTATATAATCATATATATCTGTTTTATTGGTGGGGCATACTTTATATAATCATATATATCTGTTTTTAATGGAAGTGACGGTGGTGAATCAAACAAGAAACCATCAAACATGCGCTCAATAAGCTGCTGCACTTATGTGAATCTCTATAATTCTCTCAAATGATTTAATAACCTCTAAAATAAAATGGTTTATTTAACAGGATTAATGTTCTGCCGCTAGTTTTAGTGCAAAAAATATCACAGAGAAAAGAAACAAGACTCGCGCGCCAGCTGCAGCTCTCAGAGCGATGTCCTCCCACTGCAAACGTGCTTTTGCACGTAATCATATGCACACGCACGCACGCGGCGATGAGGCCTTGATAGCGCCCTTCAAGAAAATCATTCACAAAAGGCCTGGCATGTGCAGCGAGTAGTCTGGTACGTGCTGCTCCATTCACAAATGAGCACTGTTTATTTTTTTGATGCACTCTCAAATGAGCAGAATCCAGCTTTCATTTCCACCCTCGATGTCCCCACCCACCTGCTTTAGCCATACACGCTGCACACTGGCTGAAGGGCAAGGAAGCCTCCATGTATACTTCCCCATTTCCTATTTTGAGGGAATCGAGGATGTTCAGTTATAATGTTTTTCACGTTTGCTTAAAAAAGGTAGAGTGCATGTCAGCCGGGGCAGGGGATTGCTCTGGATCATTAGAAAAGATACCGATCACCAAACTCAGGCCCCGGGGACGTCTTTAAAGGAGCCCCTGTGCCCAGGAAGCAGCCAACAAAGGAAGCTGTTGTACTGCTATTCATAAGCTCACCCTGCTTTAATTCTGTGCAGCTCCTATTATATTCCCTCTGTGCAGGAAACACAAACGCACATACACGCAGTTATCCAAAATAAGCCCCCCACCCCTCCCAGACAGCCAGGCTGCGATGAAGACCCCATTTACCACAGTCACAGTGGCACGAAACACCCCACAGGTACTGCTTTTGCCATCTACGCTGACAGCTCCACGCTCGGCTCCTCGTGGTTTCCACCTTATCAAGCTCCTCATTTCTCAGTGGACGAATCATTCTCTGTGACTTGTGAGTGAGTGGAAATACACTGTAATGAATTCTGCAGAACAACAGTGACTTTTAAGAAAAGCTCCAAGCATATTTTGTGTCTCTTTCTCCCACATGGAAAATTGTATATTCAGCTCCTCAGAAGTAACGCTCTAGTTGCAGCGTAGACAGAATGTTTTGGGTCGTTGTAGTGAAAAACACAGACACACAGGCAGACAGGCGGCGTCCGACCGGAGCTCTTAAAGGGACAGCGTTGATCCGTCCGGCTGAACTCTGTGACTCGGACTCCCCGAACCGTCGAGAACAGAGGCTTTGGTTTGGAGCGAGCGTACGTGCACACACAGCGGTACTGCTGTCACATCCAGGAAAGAGGAAACTCTTTTTAGACTGGCAGAGGAGGATGAAGATGCAGTTATGAAGCGTTTCTTCACATTATCTTAATATAACATAATACACAGTATAATAACATGCACTGAACCACCAGCACTTTACATACCTCTGTAGAAATCATCCACATATCTCACTTACCTGCACTGCTGTATAATTCTGTGTAAATAATCATTCTGTACAATACGATAATTTTTAATTCTACTTAATTCTGCACTTCTGGATGGATGCAAACTGCATTTCGTTGCCTTGTACCTGTGACGTGTGCAATGACAATAAAGTTGAATTCTATTCTATTCTAATATCTACCTGGAAAAATGAAGTACAGGGCAGCTTCCATCATATCTAACACCTCTCATGTCGTTGTTGTTTTAGATGCGTGCTAACAGCGCTGCACATGCACACATGCACATATGCACACATGCACACATGCACAATGCTGGAGGCACCAAAGGGAGGCAGGGTCTCCTACTCAGCAGTCTGTTAAGAGTCCCAGCAAAAACATGATGCAAACCGATGGGTGGGCCATGCTCACGTTGGACGGCGTGGGTGTGAAAGCAGTGGCGGACGGGGCGTGCTCGTGTCTGTCTGGGTGGAGCTGCTGCCAGATGATGACACATGTTCTCGTTATAACCAAAACAGGCTGTAATGTCGCAAAAATCAACAGATTCCCAATGACGACGTGGACATCGAGCCTCGTTCCAGGCCGTGGACGTCACCTGGCGACCAACCAATATTTCCATTTTGTGTAGTTCATTGGCACATAACAACCAAGGCATTCTTGACATGCCTGAAAGTATTGCCCAGGATTACGCATCGATGTGCAAGGACGCACAAAAAACAACAACATGCGCACATAAAGGCTGCCGTTCGGCCTCGGGGTGTGTGACTGAGATTTACAGCGATGCTCTTTTGCGTCTAAGCACGCGATATTCCCCGCAGGCTGGCGAGATGCATTTCTCTCTAAAGCGCGTGACGATTAAATGCTGTTACCTTTTCTGCTGTTTGTACTAAAAGCTTTAAAACGCCTTCGTTGGTATTGTTTATCTAATAAACACACAATATGACTCCGTCTTCTCTGTAACATCATGTCTGCACCTGGAAAAAGTAACCCGTCTGTACACTTTGCTGGTAATGAGCCAGAACCTTCTGCACGTATAAACACTAACGTGTGTTTGCGCACGTGCAAATATATAAACAATAAACGCACGCGCACAAACGCAGGTACGCCAGAAAAACACAAACACCATCAATCATTCAGCCACCTGTGGCTGCAGCGCACAACCTGCTGCTGTTAGAGCCAACGCTGCTTTTCCTGTCACACTCGCCACTTTTAGTCTTTCTCAACAGTCCTAACCATCTGTCTGCAAACTTCACTCCACTTCTTCTTCACGCTAGGTGACGACCCTTTTTGCAATCAAGAAGTAAATAAGGACGATGGACTGTTTGTGCCAAGCTGTGTTCAAAGAAAAGAAATAATTAAGTCTGAAACGCGTCACTATCGATAGCGTCGGCCACAGACAGACTGCGGGAGGATTTCTCCGAGCTGCTGCTGAGACAAACGTGTTGCCCTCGCTGCCTCGGCTGTATGTGTGTGCACTGGAAGCATGTAAACACACGCTTTCTTCGAAACAAACGCACGTCCTCCGTGTTTAGCAACAGCTACGAGACAGGATGTTCTTCTCTCCTTCACCCCCTTTACTACAAGTAGAAAGCTGAATATGCTGTGAGGTGAACAGGTTGGACGTCTGTTTATTAAAAGCTCTTGTCACATTTAAGACATCAATAAGACGAGGTTACACGTGCACTGTGGAAAACTGTAACCGGTGTTTCGACTTTGACGCTTCGCCTGTCTGACTTCAGTATATCTGGTTAACAGAGACGACTGAGCTGAGGCTCCAGATTTCTAACGTCGGTCACAGCGATGGCCGCCGCTCCCCGAGCCTGGATCTACCCGAGATTTCTTCTTCCTGTTCATAGGGTTGGGTTTTTTTTAAACGCTCCCCAATATCGTCGAGAGTTTGCTTTTAGCGCCGTGATTACCATGGTGAGCCACGGAGGTACTGCAGGTGGGACACAGTCAAAACTGAAATTCACATTAAAGACATACAATTATGTACAGCTACATGTATTTCTATACATTTATTAAAAGTGGTCATAGGAGGTGGTTAGTTTGTGATATTCCTCATTACTCTGACTTTAATTTTCTGCTCCTGTATTGAACTTGGTCTCCTGGCTGTATATGACCGTGGCACTGCTGTGTGGTTACTTTTCATTTTTTAGGGTCTTTATCTTCCAAAATAAAGAGTCTTAAGGGAGAGTTGTTGTGAATTAACATTTTTATATATGTATATATAAATAAATAAATAAAACTGACTCTTAAACCCTTTCTGAAATGCACACAGAGTGTTTTGCTAAATTTCACATGAAAACTGCAGGAGACGCGCTCACCAGCACAGACTGTTTAAACATTACTGGGACCACAGGACCCTCATATGTGGTTTCCAGACGAATCAAAACTCTCAAGTGTTTTTTGCACGCAAAATAAAACCTCATTTAAGCAAATTAAAAACACATAATCTCCGTACTAAAAGTTTTATAAACTTCTCTGGACAGCGTTGTGCCTTCGCCGATGCAGCTGAGTAATCACCGAGAACAAAATGTGACGGAGGCCGTGAAAACAAACCGGGGACGTATTTGCAGCGGCTGAGATCAGAGGACTAATTTGCATATGAAATCATGTAGCTAATGCCTAAATGGAAACTGTGTCTTCAGCGCTGCGTGGTAACTTCTCCTGCAAATATTGCCTTTTCTTTATTTGATGTGCTGCTGAGTTTGTGACTCATCCTGCTCAGGTTTCCAGTGAAACAGTAACGCACGGTTACTAAGGACTGCACAAAGCGGGGCCAACAATCACATACAGGTTGCCCTATGCCTGCGTGTGCTTTGCTGTATTTATGCTCTTTGTCCCATTTCAGATTTGGTGAACACCTGAGCAGAAGACATTAAGAGGCAACACGAGGAGAAGCTGGAGCAGACGGGGACTTACCTGCATCGCTACATAACTTATCGAGTGTAACAAACAAATGTAAAGTTCCCTTCTGTGCAAATGTGTTCGGTGACCACAGAGTGGCGGTGGGATGACATTTACAACCATGTGACGACAGCTACCATCAGCGAGGTTTGTGCGTGCGTTTGTGTGTCAGCCAGACGTACGTAGTGGAATTTATACTGGAATATCCGGAAGGGCACTCTGGGATACAGGCTCCGCTGTGGATGACGTATTCATGGCAGCCCGAGTCCCGGTCCTGGTTTTGTTTCCGAGTCTGCTTACACTGGTTGTGGAGGTCCTGAGTATATGAACAAGTACAACAAGTGGGGGGAAAATGTAATTACACGAGTTTATTAATGAACTGGTGATTAACTGCAATTATTACCAACCTGACAGAAAGCAAAGCTGACACAGCGCCACCCTCTGAAGATATAGTATCCAGGAGGACATTTCTCTACGCAGGCGTTCCCGTGCTGGAGGTTCCTGCAGGCCACGCAGCTGCTGGCGTTACCCGGCTCAGAGCAGCTGCCCAGGCACTGGTCGTGGCAGCACTGGCCCTGGGGGGTGCAGGCACTGTGCTTACAGTTGTCCACGCACACTAAAGGAGACGAGCAGAAAGGAGGAAGAGGCGGTTAAATGTGAGCTCATACATATTCTCCTCATACGCGTTTTATCCCGCTTCCCCCGCCGGCGTCACCGTTCGGACAGCTTCTGTGACGAGCTCAAACACAAGGCTGCGCTGACAGCTGCTCACTGCTGCTCCTTTTAGCATCTCACAGCTCACCAAACATCACAGCGAAATGGCCACCAAGCTGTGGTTCGCACTGATCTGAGAGCAGCGAGTGAACGGCGTGCATTTTGGGTGTTTATATCCACACGTGAACTATAAACAGGTGTGTATGTAGTTGGCCTTTTGTTATTGCTGCGGTCGCTCAAAGAGAAAACGGGAGCGTGCGCAGCCATGAGGAAGAACACAAGATGGAAAACGTCTGACCTCCACACAAAGGTCAAAAAACCCAAAACACGAGGACTTCCTTGTTCGCTCGCTGGTATTTGCACCACTGACTTTGTCATCTCATACCTGAGAGAAGCTACAAAGGCTCGTCTGCTCTTCAGGCACGCACATCCCAGTGTTCACTGCAAGTGGATACTGGGATACTGGGAGGGGTTGAAGGAGCAGAGGGGGTGTGTGTTTGTATGTGACGTGGACTGAACTGACTAACATGTTATTAGTAAGTATGCGCTTTACGTACTTCATGGACACATGACTGCACAAATCAAACCAGCTCAGGCTGGAAAACTGTACGACTTCACCTGAGCAGTTTACGCCCGAGGGTCAGCAGCAGCCCACGTTGCCAAGGAAACCGGCTTAATTGCTGAAAGGCTGAACACTATGTGACACGGGCTCACGCCAGAGTTTTTGGACCTATTGGGAAAGAGCCTAAGAGTCAGCTGTGATCAGATTAGCAGTCCGGTCTGACCCGCTGACTGTAGTAGTCTCTGACCACAGACTCATTAGATCTCACGTTACACCGACCACCAACCTTTTTATCATCGGCGCCCACAGCGCCGATAAACTGCCCTCAGCTGTGCAGTGGAGAAGTGATAACTGAAGGCTGGAAGTTGGTCTTCATAGTAAAATATTGGCAATAAAAGAAGATTGAACTGATCAGTGTTTTAAGCCTGAAAGTTCAGCAGGTGTTAGAGAAGGTGGTAAAAACACTGTTTCAGAGAGTTCCCCTTAATTCAGAGCCTGTTCAGTAAAACACGTCTCGACCGGACGAGCCCTTCGGTCATCTCACCGTGTCCCCGGCGGGTTCAGCTCATTTTCATGTTCCTCTGTCCTGCTTTAGTCTGGAGGATGAGGGCTCCGTGTCCGTTAACCCACGTGACGTGTGCTTGTATAGCGTGTGCGATGTCTGAATTGATCGCGTGAGCCGAGCTGCGATCGCTCTTCTAGCAGCGAAGAACTGAAGGGGAAACATTATTCAGGTGTCACGCTGATGAACAGCCTAAAAAGGTGCCAGGGGGGCAATGTTTGCAGCTTTTGTGGGATGCAGCCTCTGTTGAGGACAACTCTTGCTGCCAAGGTTACATCCAGGGCCCCCACCTTCCCACCCCAGCATGCCTCCTTTTGCACGAGAGGGCGGCCCATTGTGCTGCCTGAGTAAAAGCGGAGGGGACAGACAGGGTTGTGGCTAGGGGTGAGGATGGGGTGGGGTAACGAGGTTAAAGAAAGGAACAATAATGAAGGGAGCAGCCGGGGGAAAAACCACGGAGAGGGAGAATGACTAATGCAGGGAAAAACACCATCTCCGTCCTCTGGGGTAGTTCATGCGGAGGTCGCTCCTCTACATCTTCTTTACTAAGTGCCGTTAAGACGCCGCTGCTGCGCACAACCGAGAAGAATGCACAGCTCCTCCCCCGCCCTCACCCTCCACTCCGCCGCATAATGGTGAAGGGGAGGGCTGATCCAGATCCATGCCGGGGAATCGCTCCAGCCCTCTGGATCCACCCTAAGCTTTAGCCAATGTGCTAGCTGGCTGGGGGAGGCACCCACTGAATGGTCTCTTCCATGTTGGAGGGGAGAGACTCCCAGGGTTAACCCTGGCCGTGCTGGGACAGGTGGGAAGGAGCAGATGCAGCTAAGAAGCCAACACGCCAGGGAAGACCGGCTGCCGAGGGGGGGGCGAAGCTAAAGGCTCGATCCGTTTACCCAAAGCCAGAAACAGAGGCTCATTTTTTTCAATCAAATCCACGAGACGACAAAATGTCTGTTATTCTTCACAGAAGCAGCGTGCAGTTTGCACATGTGCAGCACAAACACCACCACTGCAGCAGGACCGTGTCTGCTCACACTAACGCGGGTTAGCTACTATGCCAAACACGCTCGCTCACTCATCCCCTCCTACTCCACTGTCCTCTCCATCCCAGTCTCACCCTGCCCTGCACCACTATCTACCGCTCTATCTGCCTGCCTGCCTTTCTAGGCCACTCTGCCCCTCCCACTTTCATTCATACAGCGCCTTGTTTTGTTTTCATGCTGGCTGGCTGGGTGGGGAAGGGGAGGGGGAGGCACGGACGAAGGGATGATTTCGCTGGCACAACAAGACGAGGAGGCAGCATCCTGGAGAGGTTCTCTCTCATTAAGCCAAACACAAACACACGTAAAACCTCACTGTGTCATTGAATCATTTGCCCGCCTCCTCCTTACGCATGCACACAGTTCCAGTAAAGGTGTTTAAACGCGAGGCGTGATCAAAGGTGTGCTACGTTTACCTTTCATTTGGCCACGGCCGTAAAAGCCCCGGCTGCTCGATCCTCGGGGGAGAACGCGGGAGAAAGCCGGGCAGCCAATAGCGTGCAGCCACACACGCAACACTTCCTGCTCATAACACTTAAAACCTCCCCTTTAATTGGCCGCGGTGTCTACAGGCAAAGAGCTGGGAACAATAACAAACAGGTTTTTACCCCAGAGCTGCTCACTCAGGACACGCACGCTCTTACTCATCCACACACAGTTTACTATATTTGGCCACGGTGGGAGTCCTGAGCTCCAAAAGCACTGCTATAAATGCTTCGAGTGATCTGATGTAAGATATTTGTCCTGAGGGACTGGAGGGAGGGGAACGGGTGTAAACAAAAACACGCTGATTGCTGGGAGGGACCAGAGTGACACCGGCGTCGTCAAGAAGCACGAAAGCCACGCCGCCGTTCACGGAAATGCAACACAGGCTACGGAAAGAGCAGAGGGGGGAAAGACAGGAGGTGGAGAGGAAGACAGAAAACAGCTGACGTGAGGAAGCAGAAGGTGGAGGAGAGGAGAGTCGGGCTCTGACGAACACCAACGTCCGATCTTTTCTAACCCTTTATGCTTCGAGCCGATATTCCCCCACAGGTCACACACACACACCAATCACGCCGTCTCTCCTGTCAACAATCAGTCTAGTGGCTGAAGTCCGAATGAGCGACTGCAGAATCGAGGCTGAACACCAGTGTTTGAACAAGCCCGTCTGTTCTCTACTCATTTTACCTCAAACGAAGAAGAACAAAGTCTTAAATCCTTGTGAAGCACCACAGCAGGTTTGTTACAAAAACAACCATCCGTGGCATAAAACAACAAAACTTTATTCGTTTTTAATCTGCCAGAAAAACGTACGCCGTCCAGCACTTTTTATTTGGTGAGCTGTTGCCAAAGAAACGAGACTAACTTCACAGTGCAGCGAACCAGAGGAAGAGCTGCAAACAACGTTATTCAAACGAGCTCTCAGGAACTGATCGCCGTTTCATGAGAAGCGCTCCGTGTATCACTTCTAATAAGTAAATACTGAGACAGCAGAGAGGAAAAACAAACTGCAGGCAGCGTATCGCCACCACAGCTCCTCCCTTTCCATCGGCGTTATTTTTATAATCCCGTGGATCCATCACCGAGTCAGTGACCGTGTGACGCTCACACACTGGAGCCCGGATCCAACATGTTTGGACATCTAAATGAAACCGGGTGGTTTACCGAGGTCTGACTTTAGCATCAGGTGTGGGGGGTTGGGTGGTGCAGCGGTGAGCAGGGTCACCTTACAGCGGGAAGATTTTGGCTGTGAACCTGCTGCTGACCTGGAGGCTTTTTGGGACGATGGACTGTTTGTGCCAAGCTGCGTTCAAAGAAACGCTCACGACCTTTATCTATAACAAGAAACCTGATACAAAAGTGACACGAAGAACAAAGGGCAACATGTGTGCTGGCAAAATGAAACGAGGCTGGGTCACCGAGGGTGGAAGTGGCTGGAAGAGCAGGGCCTGGTTCATCTCGGACACACACACGAGTTCAGCCTTCGCTTTAGGTCAAACCTTAGAAAACAGAACACACACAGGCTGTAGTGTCATTACGGCCTGTGTGCTTTGTTTTTTATCAGGGTATATACCTCACAGCGCACTATTCTCTCCTATCGCACGCTCCTGCCACATATCTGACATGCCCGTCTCAACATGTCGACTCTTTCCACTTCCATAAACAGAAGCGTTCTGCCGGTCTCCCCAAACGAGTGTCAAGAAGCAAGGCCCGAATATCTGCACCTCCTTCTCTGATAGCCCGTCATCATGACCCTGCAGCACCCCAATGGCCGAACAAGCACACGCGTGCTTTATTGTACAGCCGTGCAGCTATAGCGCTCCTTCTACAGCTGCGATTCAGTGCTACAAAGTTTAATCGAAGCGTCCATCGATCGCAATGAAAGGAAACTGAGTCTGTGAGAACGGAGAAACCTTTTCCACACATGGCCAGACTTACTGTTTTTCCTTATCTCTTGTGATCTCCAGCTCGGCCTGCTGCAGCTGAAGCTCTCCTTAACGTGAGGCTAATTCATTTTCACGAACGCAGACACGAAGATAAACAGTTTGAAAAGGGGGGAATGTGGTTTAATGAGCGCGGTTTCGCTCCCCGCTTTGTCTGTCTGTTCATCGATTTCCTCGTCTGTGTCTTCCTGTGCGCCGGCCAGCCCTGCTGGCCCGTCCTGTTACCATGGAGACGAGTCCAGACATAGACCGTCTGCAGTAATTAGCTGCATGCTCCCAACAGGCATTTTCTTAGATTCCCCTCTGGCT